CTTACTTAAAGTGACTCAGATCAATGGAATGAAATTGAAAACCCAGAAATGAACCCACAGACCTATAGCCACCTAATCTTTGATAAGGGAGCTAAAACAACACAATGGAAGAAAGACAGCCTCTTCAGTAAATGGTGCTGGCAAAATTGGCTAAATACATGTAGAAAACTAGTTAGATCCTTAGATATCACCTGCTCCAGAATCAACTCCAAATGGATCAAAGACCTCAGAGTCATAGCAGACACTCTGAAAACATCACAAGAAGAAATAGGAGAAACCCTAGGTCTCCTAGGCACAGGCTGAAATTTTCTCAATAGAGACCCACAATCACAACAAATCAAAGAAAGGTTGGACAAATGGGATTGCATGAAGCTTCAGAGCTTCTGCATGGCAAAGGACATAGCTAGCAAGGTCAATAGAAAGCCCACGGATTGGAAGAAGATCTTCACTAGCCATACAATGGACAAGGGTCTCATATCTAAAATATACTTGGAACTAAAAAAATTAAATCCCCCAACAACAAACCCTCAAAGAAAGATAAACAAGTGGGTTGAAGACTTAAAGAGAAACTTCTCTGAAGAATAGCCAATAGACATATGAAGAAATGCTCAATCTCTCTAGCCATAAAAGAAATGCAAATCAAAACAACATTGAGACCCAGTTAGAATGGCTATAATCAAGAACTCTAATAACAACAGATGCTGGAGGGGATGTGGCCAGAAGGGAACCTTACTGCAGTGTTGGTGGGAGTGTAAACTTGTTCAACCACTTTGGAAAGCAATATGGAGGTTCCTCAAAAGACTCTACATAGATCTCCCCTATGACCCAGCAATCCCACTTTTGGGCATTTACCCAAATGATCACAAACAAGACCATACTAAAGCTACCAGCACAACTATGTTTATTGCAGCATTATTTACCATACCTAAGATATAGAACCAACCCAGATACCCCTGTAGTATATATACACAATGGAATTCTATGCCTCCATCAGAAAAAATGACATCGCCCCATTTGTTAGGAAATGGAAAGACTTGGAAAAAATTATATTAAGTGAAGTAAGCCAGGCCCAAAGAAACATAGGTCCTATGGTTACCCTTATTTGCATTAACTAGTATATGTTTGGGACAACCAGAAAAGGTCAAAAGCTATGTACATATGACTAGACATTATGTTAAGTGAAATGAATCCCAAGATTCATTTCAAGTGGTTTTTTTCTTTCTTGCGATTGTTCCTAACATATTTGTAATGTACCATGTGATTTTTTTTGTTGCTTTGTATGTTCCTCTCCCACAGTATAACCCCTGTTTTCACTGTATTTGGGGAGGGAAAGGGAAAAAACAAAATGCTTAAATAGGGATACAGGTTGACCAATTGTAACAATGAGATGTGCAAGACACTATGTTGAAAAATAAACTACAATTTAGGTGGGGAGGGGAGGGAAGGAGGAAAGGGGATTGTAATTGTGGAGGTGGAAGGAAGGAAGGGTAGGGGAAAAACAAAGGAGGAGGTACCAATGCTTGATAGGAAATGTACTCATTACCCTACTCATGTAACTGTAACTCCTCTATACAGTATTTTTACAATAAAAAGTATGGTAAAAAACCTGAAAATAAATAAATACATAAAGTGGCTCAGAGCATTTCATCCGGTGAAGGTTAAAGTATCATCTGGGATCTGGGAGAACAGCAGAAAGCTGTAGTTCTATCCTAGGATAGCTGATGCCACAGCTCTTCTGCTGTTGCCCAGTTTCTTTCTTCTCCACAGAAACTAGCTTCCCCCAACACTCGGAGTATGGGAGAGGGATCAAGAGAGTCCAGGAGGGCTGGGAAGGTGGTTCAGAGGTAGAGTGCTTGCCTCCCATGCATGAGGCCCTGGACTCGATTCCTCAGCACCACAAAAACAGAAAAAAAAGAAAACCTAGAAGTGGTACTATGGCTCAAATGATAGAGCACTAGCCTTGAGTTGAAGAGCTGAGGGACAGAGCCCAGGCCCAGAGTTCAACCCCATAACCAACAATAAGGAGAGAGAGAGAGAGAGAGAGAGAGAGAGAGAGAGAGAGAGAATGAGAGAGAGGCAGGGCTATCAAGGAGATGGGCAAATTAAAAATAATGCAAAGCACCAAAAATTTCTTAGAAATCACAAACTATTGAAGGAAGTTTGCTTCTTCAAGAAGTTTTATGTTTATGTGTGAAGGGAAGAGAAAAACATAGTAATGCCAATGAATTTACCAGGATTTTACATATTACTCTTTCCCTAACATTAACTGGCCTCCTCTTTGTCTTTTCCTTTCCTAATTCACTATTTTATACTGATCTTCTGACTCTTGTTAACTTCTGTCTTTCAGTTGTCATTTTCTCCAGCTAATAGTAAATAGTAGACAGCCAAGAATGATCAGATATTATGTTTATGTAAATACAACAAGCCAACTTGGCTTGTTATGTAGATAGTTATGTAGGTATAGCAAGCCAACTTGGCTTGTTATAATAGTGGATAAAATTTAAATAAGCACTTTTTAAAGGATCCTCTTCTATGTGTATAACATAAACCTGAATTAAACTGCTTCAGTTTGAATACTGTCCTCACCCTTGTTAGCTAGGAGACCTTAGACAAGTTAATCCCCCTAAGCCTGAGTTTTTTTATCTTTAAATGAGGGTGACTGTTATACCTCCATCATAGTCCTACTATAAAAAATTAACAAATTAGCCACATAAAGTATTAGCCAGAATGTCTGTCTTGTACTAAGTACTCAAAGACCATTGGCTATCATTATTTGTAACAGGCACAAGTAGCTTTTGGACATGGTGATGATGCTTTTGATGCTTGGTGATAAATATGTGTAGCCTAAGATTTATGATGTGTCTAGTCCAAAATGATGTGCATTACGAGTGTAAAATACACTGTCTATTTCAAATATTTAGAATACTAATAAAGTGAAATATAACATCAAGAGAGTTCACTTTCATGTACATTATACAGTGACATTAAAATATATTATTGTCATAAAATAAAATTAATGAAATTCAATTTAAAAGGGTTTTAAAAGTTTTTTTTAAAAACTTTTCAAAAAGTGGCTACTAAAAATTGCGTATCATATAAAAAACTTGCGTTACGTTTCTTGTGGGAGGTGTTTTAGGAAGTCAAAGCAATGAAGTTCTAAATTAAAACACAGTAACTTGTCACCATCGTTGCTTTAATTGCATATCACCAGCACTTCTCCTGGGCTCCCCCCACAGCTTCTGTTGATTCTCCCTAGGCAGGTGAAGCCCTGCCTTTTCCCATACTCATCCACCACTGGGGTAATGATAATGAATTGCCTGGCGAACATTAGCTTTTTGTACTGCCCAAGGAACTTTTGTTGTAGAGTTATCAACAGAGAAAAATGGCCAACAAGGAAGAAAACAATACTTTAAAAAAATTTGACAGTGATGATTGATGCAAGAGAGCAATATTCATTGCTAATAATTACCAGTAAAAAACTAAATGATGTTCAACAATGAAACATAACTTTTTTTTCAAATGAAAGCTCATGCAGAAGCTCAGTGTGTTGAACAGGTAAGACAGAAAGGACAAAAACCAAAATACTTGTACTTTGAACATAAAGTTCCCCCAAAAATTATAATAGCACTATACAGAAATTCAAAGCAAAGTGTACTTGTTATATTGATCTAAGGGACTATTTGCCTGGTAATAGGTTAGAAATCAATGCCCACAAAATGTAATCAAGTACTTTAGCTATGGGTTTTGAGTGACCAGGGACCAGATCTTAAACTATTTTTACTGTCTATAAGATTACCATATTACTGTTAGACATTAATATAATATCCAGTGTAAGTCACCAAGAGAGAGGCACCAAATGAAATGTTTACCAAATTTATTTGACTATGAAATTCTTTTTTTGTGTATATGTATTGGTCCTGGATCTTGAACTCAGGATGGTGTGGGTTCTGCCTCTGAGCTTTTGTATCAATGTTATTGCTTTACCACTTGAGCCACATCTCTACTTATGACTTTTGGGGGAGGTAATTGGAGATGAGTCTTTTTTTGCCCAGGCTGGCTTCTAATCACACCCTTCAGGTCTTAGCCTCCAGAGTAGCTAGGATATGAAATCTTTTTTAGTGATCAGTGTTACTATTATTCTAAGTCATACCCTTTGGAAAACTCTAGCACAGTCATTTGTGTGTGTGGGGGGGGGTGTGGGTGTGTATCATGAGATTTTTTTTTCTACAATTTTTTTTTTGGTAAGTCATGAGGCCTGAACTCTGGGCCTGAGTGCTGTCCCTCAGCTTTTCAGGTCAAGGCTAGTGCTCTACCACCTGAGCCACAGCACCACTTCCAGCTTTTTCTGCTTATGTGGTGCTGAGGAATCAAACCCAGGGTTCCATGCATGCAAAGCAAGCACTCTACCCCTGAGCACCTTCCCAGCCACTACAATTGACTTCTATTATAATTTTCTATAGAAGGGTGTATAAAGGGGCTGGGAAAGTGGCTCAGTGGTAGAGTGCTTGTCTTGCATGCATGAGGCCCTGGGTTCGATTCCTCAGCACCACATAAGCAAAAAGAAAAAAGCTGGAAGTGGTGCTGTGGCTCAAGTGGTAGAACACTAGCCTTGAGCTGAAGAGCTGAGGGATAGCGGCCAGGCCCCGAGTTCAGGCCCTACGACCTGACCCTCCACCCCCTTGAAAAAAAGAGAAGGGTGTATAAAGGCATAATGGAAGGTGTCTTTCAGGATCTCTCACTATCTCCCAACCATAAATTTGGCTTTAAATTTTGCCATCATTGTATATTTCTGCTTGGGAAACATGAAAAGAATGCATGATATCAGATCAAGGCATAAATCCGCTTCTTAGATGAGACATAAACCAACTTTCTAACCATGAAAGTTTTTGAAAAATATTTGCATAGAGAAAACACAGGTGTAGTAGTAAGGTGACAGGTTCTGGCTCCTGGCTCCTGAAGCTCCTTCTTGTAATACCCTTCTGTTTTATTCTCCTGACCAGGGGTCCTTCTTTTCTACCCGACATTCAGAACACCCAGACAACTCAGCTGGAAGACCGACTGAATAATCAGGAGCGCACCATCGCCTTCCTCCTAGAACAAGCCTTCCGCATCAAGGATGACATTTCTGCTTGTCTCCAGGGGACCCATGGCTTTCGAAAAGAAGAATCTCTTGCCAGGAAGTTACTAGAAAGCCACATCCAAACCATCACCAGCATCGTCAAAAAACTCAGCCAGAACATTGAGGTAGCTCTTGGTTTTCATCTATTGGCATTATTGTTTGACAAAAACTATCAACCACCCACATTACTTTTCCACTTTAACAATATGCTCCTATTGTTTAAGTTCAATGAATACCACTGAGCTTTCCCAGTGTGAAATAGCTGTTATTTGGCTGCTTGCTTAAGCCAAAAGGTAAAAGAAACTGCCATTAAAAAATGTATTTTTCATGCCAGCCAAGATAACTATATAACATTATGTCAGGCATGTGTTGAGGTTCTTGTTAGTCTAGGTCTGCAAGCTTCTATTAGTACAATAATTTCAGAGATTTTCAGCATCACAATTTGACATTGTTCTCACTCACCTCCCATCCCTCACCTCACCTGGATATACTGGCCTCCCGTTATTCTGTTCCTTACTATTCATTCACACTGGATGATCTTCCCATAAACATTTGTATGAAACATTCTTTCTCTCCTCCTCGTTCCTGCTCAGATATGACCTACTATGAAAGACTTTCTTCACTTCCTTTAAATCCCTTCCTCACTTAACTTAAGCCTCTCAAATTTTATTCATAGCATTTATCATTTCTGCCATGACTGTTTGTCTATTATTTGTGTGCTCTTTCTAAAATAGATTTTACCTTTCTAAAATGTAATTCCAAGCATGCTGAACCTTAGTATAGCTTGCTGTTAAATGCCTTAATAGACACCAAGAGTGTCTGTAAAATTTTCCTGAGTAAATAAGTAAAAATTTCAAAAGGAAAATAAAGTTCCTGATCAAAAAGGGAAAATCTTAAGCTAAATCAAGATAAATAGGTTTTTTCTTTCAAAGGTTATTTTTTGTTTATTGTTTCATTTTTTTTCTTTTTTGCCAGTCCCGGGGCTTAAACTCAGGGCCTGGGCTCTGTCTCTAAGCTTGTTTTTGCTCAAGGCTAGCACTCTACCACTTCAGCCAGAGTCCCAATTCTGATTTTTAGTGGTTAACTGGAGATAAGTCTCATAGACTTTCCTTCCCGGACTGGCTTCAAACTGTAACGCTCAGATTTCAGCTTCTTGACTAGCTAGGATTACAAGTATAAGCATATAATTGAGAAAATGTCAGAAGTTAAAAATACTTAGAAAAAATTTTAAGTATTTTATGGAAAAAAATTTGTCTCTTATAGGTGTCATCACATATTAATAAGTTAATCCCATTGAAAGTTTATAAGCAATAAAAGTTGCAAGAAGATGTCAAGAGGCCTAGTACTGTCCTTTCAAGAAAATCAAGTCATCATTTAGTACCTGTAATCCTAGCTACTCAGGAGGCTGAGATCTCAGGATCACGGTTCAAAGCCAGCCTGGGCAGGAAAGTCCATGAGACTCTTATCTTCAATAAACCACTAGAAAACCAGAAGTGGCGCTGTGGCTCAAGCAGTAGAGTGCTCGCCTTAAGCTGAAGAGCATAGGGACAGCGCCCAAGCCCAGAGTTCAAGCCCCACAACTGATAAAAAAACAAACAAACAAACCTGGGCCAAAGACCTTAAGAGAGACCTCTCTTAATAGTTTTAAAGGAACAACGTTCTTAATAAAATGTTTCTAAGATGGGCAGTGACACATGTCTGTAATCATAGCTATATGGGAGGCAGAGACCGGAGGATTTCCATCAGAGGCCAGCCATGGGCAAAATGGGAGACTCCATCTGAAAAACAACTAAAACACAAGTGTTGGGAGTGTTGGCTCATGGTATAATCCTCGTTTAGCAAGACTCAGGCCTAATTTCAAAATCAGAACTGCCAAACATATATTTCTAAAGAATGTACTTTAGATATGAGGCTATTGTCTGATATATAGCTAGTAGAGGTCTTTTCCCAATCGGTGTGCTATTTATCCTGCTAGCTATGTTCTTTGCCATGCAGAAACTCTGCAGGTTGATGCAATCTCATTTAACCAGTCTTTCATTGATTGGTTGTATTTCTGAATCTTTGCTTAGGAAGTCTTGACCTGTGCCAAGGAGCCCTAGTGTTTCCCCTATCCTTTCCTGTA